TGTTCTCTATGGCTACCAATTGAAGGCGGTGGTGGTGGTGGAGGTGGAGGTGGAGGTGATCTATTAGAACTTGCAAGTGGTGGAAGCGGAGGAGTACGTGGGACAGAAGAAGGGCCACCAATTATAGGAGGAGGTGGTGGTGGTGGAGGAGGCGGAGGAGGTAATGAGACCTCCTTGCTAGGAGAACCAAACATAGAGGGTGGTGAAGGGGGAGATGAAGCTGATGATTGAGTGACTTTTATACTAGAAATCACAGGGGCAGGTGACGGAGGTGGTGAAGGTAGCAGAGAAGAAGAGGAAGTCCTTGTATCGCAAACTCGAACTCCCTTTAAATGTTCAGGAGCAATGGCAGTATCCAATTGACAGTTACTTTCAGAAAGAGACTGAACAGGACCAATATCTGACTTTGAAAGCTTCATTTGACCCTCAGAAATCTTGGGATCAGAAGTTCCATCAGAAGCTGAATCCTGTTCATCTAAAAAATTGACATCTGTTGTATTAGCATAAGTAAGACTACTAGCTTTCTCCGAGTCCAGAAAATCCAAACTGTCAGCAATGCTCGATGCATTATTTTCTTCTTCAGAATCAAATGGGGACGAATACCCACTCATCCTACTTTGCAAAATTGACAAATCTTTCATATCATTCAGCACCGATAGCTGTTTAAACAACCACAACGCAGCATCATCACCAGTATCAACCCAATCAGCTCCACTAAAAAGTTCTTGTACCCTTGAAAAGGCTTCAATAGGAAGTCCACCAGTCTCCTCACCATTTAGAGCTGCAGTGGGAGCTTTTAGTGGAGATATGCTCTCAACATCACCAAATAAAACCTGCAAAGCAGGAAGTATAAGTTAGAGGAGAAATATGACGAGCAAAGGTGATCCAATAAAACAACACTAATCAGACAGTTTGTAAGAAAGTATTCACCTCAGCTCGAAAACCTTTTGGATAGCGTGCCTTTGAATCCCATAGAATATCCAGGTTATCACAGTTTAACATCAAAATGTTAGACCGAATAAAAGCGGTGTTAAACACAATACGGAACATCATGACTTCCCTTTCAGGATCCAGGTCTAAGTGGACACACTCCAAAACTACATCTCCTTGCACCAAACACTGAATATCAATCTTGATGACATCACTGTCCTTCTGCAAAACGATATCAATCATATTGCCACACAGCAGAATTGAAGAAGACAATAAACAAGATGCAGTGATAGCAATTTTTCACCTGGCGATAATGTCGAAGGCTTCTACCTTTCTTCGGCATGGAGTACAACATATGAGTTGACAATCCATCCTTGCTGAGAAGGTTCCTTCCAAAAATGCGCACAATTGGCCTACACCCTTTTTGATTGTCAAATCTTGGAATGGAACGAAGAATGAGGCAATCCAAAGAAAGAGCTTGTTCAGGAGGAGGCCACTCGGGAGATATATTTCTTCTTGATATATATTGCAGGTAACGAAGCTGAGAAGGGAATGGGTTCAAAGGTGACAACAATTGCGATAAGCCTTTAGGTGCCTCACGATAAACCATCTCGAGAGTTTTTCTCTCTCCACTTTGTAACTTTCTGAAAACCAAGAAACTGGCCAAAATGAAGGCTAGAAGGGGCCAACCACCTCTCTCGCAGTGTAACAAAATTACATTGTTATGATTTTGAAGAGAAAGCCAACTCTCACAGATACATAGAAAATGGTGTATCAAAGACAATGGCAGTACAGGACAGCCTTCATATTGCCTTGGGTAATCCATTACAGTTACATCATACTCGCATAAAATCTCCGCAAACTGGCTCCTTTTCTCGCCTTCTCTGAAATTGAAAGCAAGAAAGGAGGAATCTGGAAATTCTTCATGTAGTTCATTTATGATTTCGTGCAAGTAAAGCTGATAAATTCCCTCAGGGAGTACTTCAGTCGAAAAACAAGAATCAAAAACTGCAGATATTCAACACAAGATAAAAAGATGTTGAAAAAACTACAATGCACTTCCAATGTTCAATAAAAAAACATATTATAAAGTCAAAGCTGGTTCCTTTACCATATACTCTATCATCAAGTTCCAGCAACCCATCTGGGGGCCTTCTATAGAAAAATCTACTTAACAGCGACATAATACTGAGCCAATATATCACCTAAATTTACCTGACATCAAAGAAATTCAAACCCATTTTCATTCATTTAGTGTCCCAATATAAAAGGGTCAAAGAATCAGCTCGTACAAATTCAAGAAAATGTGAAATTCAGAAGAAGAACTCAAAATTAATCTCAAATTCAGAATACCCACAAAGCTAAAAAGGGATTGAACTATATTTCAGGCGAAAAAATTGGAACTTAACACCAAATAAACAACAACAAGACTGAAAGATAACACACAAAACTCACATAGAAATATATGCACAAAACACCAAAAAAGGAAATCTTTGAACTGAAGCAAACCGACAGAAGCCGTTGAAGAAGGATTCGAGATGTGAGGTGAAGAACCGACAGTGTTGCCAGTAAAGTTTTCACCTGCGCTTTCCGATTTTAGTATGAATTTTTTTTTTCTGATATCGGATTTGAACTCTTTGGAGTTCAAATTTTGGGAACGGAAAAAAAGGGGGATGATATTTTTTATTTTAACATATGGTTGTTTTCAATTTTTGAAATTACAGAACCAACCCAATACTTGTATGGATAACTTTTACTTGTGTTCTATTTTCTTTTTCAAAAACTCAACAACCGGAGTATTTTTCGAAAATAATCTTTTCTTTCTATTCATAATTAGGGATAAGATTATAGTGTAAAATATTCAATGACGATTAATGAATAATGTTGCATTTGATTGATCACTAATAACTTGAACAATAATAAAAATATTAAATACACCAACAAAGGTTGTAATGGAGTGGTAAGTACTCATTTATCCTTAATCAAGAGGTCTCGATTCGAGTTCCATTGTTAGGGAGCGCTTTACCCCCAATGTGGGACTTTTTGATCCGGATTCGAATTTAGTCGAGCTTCAATGTGGGTGTCGGACACCAGATGAGAAACCATATATATATATATATATATATATATATATTAAATACAAATATATAGATCAAATATGAGCTTACACTAATACTTTAATTGTACTTTGTTATAATATAAGCTTAGGCCGCTAAGAAAATAGGTAGAATTTAACTTTCTTAAAACAATTGAGTGTGATAGCTTGATGACCAAGATGGGTTTATTGCACTCGGTGGTCATGTCTTCGAATCCCCTATCTAGTAGGGTTCTAGACGGGATCGACTCCTGATCACGCAGGTTGGTGCATGGGCTTAAGCCAATGGTCCAATGTGCACTTTTGAGCTTTCTATGGATGCACTAGTACTTGTATGTCAGTTTTTCAAGATATATATAGATATAATATAATTCATTCTAAAATTAGCAGGTGCACGTGCATCCCATCTATACATGTGGTCCGCTTTTGAAATCAGACCTATAAAGTTATATGGGGTATGTTATTGATATTACTATGGTGGTTTGTAATCAATATTCTAATGGCACATAATCAATGTTGGAACCTATATTTAATGAATAGCCACATTATATAAATTTTATAAGTTTAGCCACTTTAAAATCAACTTTTAAAATATGTGACTAATGTTGTAAGTCTGAAATTACAAATTTTGTGTATTACTTGTGCAAGCAAACTTCAAAAAAAAAAAAAAAATTTGAAGTTTAGCATACACGTCTAAAGTTTGGCTTGTTAAAAACCTAACTTCAAACAATCTAAAAGTATACAAACTTCAAATATTCTTGTTTGAAGTTTGGTCTAACAGTCTTAAATCTTCAAACATCTTAATCTTTTATTATTTTCATCAAAGCATACAAAGCATTTTACAATAAACCTTTTATTGGTTCAAACTTTATAAAAATGAGTTCTCATGCTAATGAAAAAAGAAATTCATATAATTGAGTCAATCACTTTGATCATGTCTTTCAAGTTAGTAAAATTATGAGACTTCAATTTCAAATATACTGTATTATTAAAGCATTGACGTTCACGACATCATTAAAGAAAGGGAAGGTTGTAACTTGTAAGCACTTGGTGGATTTTTGAAAGAGTAGCACTTTCATCTGAAGCTTGTCAATACTGATTACTAATTAAATAATTTAGAAAATTAAATGTAGCTTAACTAATAATGTTAAAACTAATTTCCGGGTGAAATTATTACTATGATTTTTTTTGTAAGTGAGAGGCAGACAAGATAATTATATATCATTTATAATATAATTTTTTGTTGGTAAAAAATAATTAATGATATTCTATGGCTGAACTCTGTTTCCTATTATACCAAAAATTTCAGGCTTGGTTGATGGGCCAATGTGACCATGTGAGCACCTTTATTGGGCTTCTAGCCCAGTTAAATTTAGGGCCCAATGACCCATATCCTATCAGCAACAACAAGTATTGTTGGTGACTTGAGAATTTTAGAATGTAATTAAACTATATTTGTCCAACAAAAAATATAAATGATAATAATATTAAAAATAAAAACTAGAAAAAATTAATATTATTCCTCAATGAGTATGATTGAAAATACATAGACGAGGCTATATTCAAAAATAGAGGAAGATTAGATCGGCTATTTGAATTTGGTTTGGCGTTAAAATTCGTAGATGAATCGAGTTGAAAAAAGATGTTGTCACGTGTGTTTTACGTATGAGAGCTAAATGATATGGGCTTTGATCAACATTTCAAGATGTATTTTTTCATCATATTGATATGAGAACGTTGCAATTTATAGTATTTTCCTCATAGTTTTTGAATACCAAAATTTTAAGTTTAAAATATAGAATTAATCTAATCAAATTTAGTTTTGAAAGTCAATCAAACAGACTCTCAAAAAGCAACACATGACAACTATTTTGAAACGAATTGGGGTATTTATTATTGTTCTATCATCCGTCTAAAATATGTTTTTTAGAAATTACGCGAACATTTATTCATTGAGTGATATACATAACTATAAGACGATTAATATTGAAATTATAAGAAAAGGAAGAGAATATAAATTAATAATACTAAGGATCGCGATGGAGTCATGGAGATCGTTATTTGAATAATACAACAAGCAAATACAACTTAAATTCAATTTTCTTTTATTCGATTACAATTAATTACATTATAATTAAAAATCATTTTAAAAGTAAAAATACTTTTATCGAAGGAAATTCTATTCTCAAAATTCAAATATAAAATTTCAAATTAGTAACGCATGCAACCTTATACAAAACAAATCAACTAGGATACCTCCCCCAATAATTAAATTATTGGTCAATAAATTGTACTCGATAATTATGAATTGTAGTTGGCAATAATAAATATGCATGTATGGTCCTCATCGACTAGTCAATGGAACATTTATGAATATGCCTGCACCAAAAAACATGAATCAATGTTCTCAACTTGCACCAAAGTTTTTATGAATGAGAAATAATATCAAATTTGTCCGTTAACGATGCAGAATGTTTTAAATGTTGTTCTTGAGGGTTAAATTTTGTAAAATTGTACATACTTTATTTTTTCTGATCAATAAACTTCTATCGTATTTCTGAATCAATCACTATTATAATAATTGTTTCTAGATCTCCATTCTCAAAAACACCACTTGAAAATAGTTGTTACTCCACACGTTCATCCCAATAACATTGCTCATAATAAAATCACAAAAACCAAATGATTTCTTTTGCTTTATATTTTATCATTTTTTTCTATTACCACTTTATCAATTTTATTATACGATTGTTGACCGTCAACCATTATAACTTTATCTTGATTGTCATAATATTATTGTAAATAGTTTATAAGCTAAAAATTATGTACCTAAGTTGATTTTAACAAAAGGAGGTTGATTTGGGACTTCGGGAACACTATTGTTGATTTGAGAAGGATTGATGATGGAGTTTCAGCTAGGTGAAAAATTAACTTGATGGTATAACTATGTATTATTTAAATTTCATTTGAGATGATTTTATATATTAATGGTAGTTAATTTAATTTTGAGGAGTAAAATAATATTGTTATAGGTTTTTGAGCATTCTTAACATCAGAATAGTGACATCTTCATGAAGCTTTAAAGACATATAAAGACCATTTAAACTAATATACAAAGTAGAAATATATTTGACCCCAACTATTAATGATTAAAACGTTCTTGTTTTATTTTGAACTTGCAATTATCTGTGGTACACTACAAATTTAAGGGATACAATATGTATTAATAAACCTAATTAGTAAGGCTAATGAAACTTTAAACACAATAGACAAATGACAGGTAAGCCCTCAGATTTTGATTCTCCTTTATCACACATGATGTTGTCAGGGGTCAATACTGTCATTATATGTCCAAAATACATGAGTACGATTTAGCAGCAAAAAACAAATAAAAATGAGATACAGATTTTAGCAATTTATACCTTTTTGAATTGAAATGATTACACACCTTTTTCACTTTGCCAGTTTATTTTCTTTATGGGGTCTAAGATTTTTGGTTTTTGAAAAAAAATATCTGTTGATTTAATTTTGGAGTAATTTAAGGGGGATGTTCGTTTATGAAAATATAAAGATATTCATTTTATTTAAAAAAAATAAAGTTAAAGTTATGTTGAATCATATTCTTTGTGAATTAATTTTTAATTTAAATGTTTTTTTTTTAAATATGAGTTGTAATTTGATTGACTAAGTTTTTGGGTGCTTAAAAATGTTACTCAGAAAAGAAGGTGTGGTCATGCTTTGCGAAGAAAATAAGCGTTTTTGAAGTAGCATAAGTTAGAAAAAAATAGTGTTTCTTCAAAAGATTTTTTTTTTGTAAATCACTTTTGAAAAAAAAAAATGCACTTAAAAATACTTTGAAAAAATCTGATCAAACACTAATTGTTGTGTAAAAGTTCTTTAAAGATTTATTGGTCAATGCAAAATGACCACAAAAGTATTATTTTTTTACACTTACTAAAATAAATTGATTTTAGAAACTTGACCAAACAAGTCATAAAAATGCAAAAATATTTAACTTTTTCTTGTTTAATGTTTGGACAATCCTGCCCTCACCATTAACAAGTGGATTAATATTGCTTTTTTCACTAACGATGATCAACCTCAATTAATACCAATTAAAATCGCAAAATATCACTAGTAATTAATTAACTCCCTCTAGATATTTTATCGGCCACTCCCTTCCTTTTTTTTGATATTCTAGATTCATTAATGGATATAATAATGAATATATGAATTCAGTCAAACTCAAAACTTTGAAATTGAATATATACATATATTATGGATAACAAAAGGGCAAGACTAATAGAGTCATTGTCTTATGCACCCAAATAAAAGTTTCAAAATTATTATACTCTATTATTACACGTAACATACAATTTATGTACTTTATTATTATTAATAAGAAATTTTAAAGTTAATTTTGTAAATTGGATTGAAGTTGTATAAATGAGTATATATAGTTATTTGCCAACATCTTCCATACTGATTTTCTCCTAAATTTTTTATGTACATATTTTTCTTTTTTATATTTTTGACGATTTCACTTTCTAAGTTCTAAGTCAACTTTTTAAAATTAGTTCTATTTATT